CAAATACCATTCATCAGTTCGTTATTATTTCTTAATAAATACTAAACTCACGAACTTGAAATTTGGGATAAATGTGCTATAAGAAAGGATTTTAAAGATTGTTGCGTTTAAGTGGATAAATTAACAATAACAATTCACCGCTAAAGGTGTGTCCGACGTACACACGACGAGTACGAAATTGCGACAAATGCGTACGATTTCGTATCGCATTTGTTGTTTCGTTTTGCGATGATTGTACATGTGTCTAAAGTAAACACGAAGAGTACAAAATTACGACCAATGCGTTCAATTTCGTATCACATTTGTTGTTCCGTTTGCGATGGTCGTACAAGCGGTAGGTATATGAATACGAATACGAACTTGCAATTAGTCTCACAATAGCGACAGTGGTGTGTCTGGACGGACTTATATATTGTGTGACACGGCGGCTCGCGGGTTTCCAGCTACGATCTTTTTTGTCTATCATTTATGTGTTTGATACTTGCGTGTAGAAATGAATTTTTCGAGAAGTCTGTCAATAACAATTATCCCGTACATCACGCCTACACCAACACTATGTATACCGAGTACTCGTATTAGCAACTATCTTTACAGGCTGTGGTTCGAGAGAAACAGTATTTCTACCAAGAATACCTTTGATTCCATCCGACTACCGCTTTCAATTCAAACGACTACAGTTTCCCGTCAAGGTCTGGTTCGCCATGGCCACTAAAAAAGCGGAGGACAGTTTTTGAAAGCGGCAGAAATGCATTTAAGGAATAACTGAAGAACCAAAAGTATTGTGTACAAGGATGTGTTATAAAAAATAAGCATGAAAGACTGAATGAGCACGAAAACTATTTTCCACTCGACGACGTTACCCATAATATTCTAAAATAATATTGTTAATGTTAAAAAACAAAAATAGGCGAAGTTATTCAGCTATTAATCTGTATAAATAAAATTCTGATATCATTCACTCATTGACTAATTGTTATATCTCAAAAACGACAAAACGTATGAGATTGATATTTGATATAGTGGTTCTTCTTGTACCTTAGATTCATTGAAAGAATTGATTTTATTGATTTTAAAAAATGTTGTGTGTTCAGCCGACTGATTTTATGTTTGAATCGGGTTCCACCGTCAAATCGTATTGTTCGACACGGCAAATTTAAATCTAAAAGTATTACCCTGAGGGCATTCCAAACATGACTAGGCTCTAAATAATATAAATTAGTAGTCCGTTAAATCTATGCCTCGGCCAAGACTGTTCCGTGTAAAGTCGGATAATTCAACAGTAGTCTAGAAGCTGTTAGAAGTCTGTATGTAAATATAACTATGAAGGTGTATTTATCAATGTATTGGGAATATTTAAATATTTAAATATCCTATTAATATAATGGCAACTACAGGCAATTATCATATACATTTTACTTCTAATATGTTATTAAAAATTAATCATTAAATTAATATAATGACTTTATCTATTAAGTATTCTGTTGTATGTTCTGTACTGAGTCCATATAAGAGCGTTAATTATCAATAAATATCCGAAAAAAAATAAATATTGAATGATTAATTAGACTCAGAGAGAAACATAATTGATTCACTGATAATAATGACTAATGAAAATGTGGACGTATCAATTGTAGCCGGTTATAATAATATAATTTTTCATCGAAGTCTCGCTGAAGAGTTACACGCACTGCAATTATTGTTCCATTGTTCCAATGCGATCCTAACGTCAATAATATAAAAATAATTTTTTAGAGGAGGGGAATGCCATCATAAATTATTTTATGAATCAGTATAAAATGGTCAAAATTAAATTTTTATCTATTTTTTTATCTTCTTATTGAAAGATCTAATTTCATTAATTATAAACAATATGATAAATTTTAGCTTCTTTTTTTTATTTGCGAATTCGTCAATTACTCTACTGGTAATAATATTTAAATCTGGATGAATCGATAACATGGCAAGGCCATTAAGTCTTTTCTGAAACAAAATGAAGGGTTACGGGGAAAAATGATCAGTCAAAAAAAAATAAAAAAATCAGATAATATATTAGGTATATTATTAGTTAGGAAAACTAACGAATCGACATGTGAATCGAGTTATGGAAAAAAGATCACAGTCAATGATATATTTTTTAAATTAGTTTTTTCTTGATCTCTTGGTTTTTTATTAGTTCTGAAACTATAAAATTGTAATACTAAACATTTTAGGAACATTAACTATTATCGTTATTCCCCGTAACCCTTCAAAGACGATCTTCAGTCAACTACAATTAGTAGATAACAATTTTCGGTGAACTACAGGCTACAGTAATAGGCATTAGTCTGTGTATAATGTGTTTCGACTTGCACAGTCAAAAACACCAATATTATTTTACCCTGGTTTAGGTAATTAATTTTTATAAAATATAAATTTAAAAAATTAATAAAATTTATAAATTTTAAAATTTTTCCTTCATTTGAATTTACAAAATTAACAAATTTCAAATTGATCGAAATTTAAAAATTTTAGGACTGTAAATTGAATTGGAGGAAACCCCCAACATTCCCCCATAAATACGCCACTGCCTACATTACACTCATGGCTATTACTTGTGATCTGATCTGAGCAATGGAGATCGAATTTCTGGATCACATTCTGATACGATGTATAATAATCACGGATAAACACGTCTATATAAAATATACTTTTATATTCAAATATTACGATGATGAAGAATTGACGACGTCAGGTCTCACCAAGTTATCAACCACCTGAGTGGCATGGCGAAAGTGTTCCGAATACTAAAACAAAATATTAATAAATGTCTGCACTAGTCCGACGTTTAAATACATTGTGCATACGTGATTTCAAACGCAAAAGAAATAATGCGTAGGAATTTGACGATTTTAGCCGCACATTGCTGCTAAGTACCAACCGTCTACGTTTTCAATTAAATTAAATTATTATCGAAACACGATAACAGTATAAGACATCGATGAAAAAATCTAATAAAACGAATCGAATTAAAATTTGTAGTTCAAAAAGTAATAAATCATAATTTGATGTTTTTTCTTTTGTTTATCACATAAGTATGCCAGAACTCGTCAAGCGCATGTATATTTATGTAATAAGTTATTTATTACTTTATCAGCGAACGGCTATTTGGTTAATTTATCAATGACACAGTATATTATAATATAATAGTAATAGTCTTAATCATTCAAGCACACGAGTTATATCACTAATAATCATAAATGCGATCCAGTGGCGTATCCGTTTGGTTTGTAGATGTGCGGTGGGTATGGGCTACAATTATGCGGTTAAATGAAAACCAGAACATAGAATTAAACGAAATATTTTTTCAAAGTTTTGCCAACCGATTCAACTGCTATGCTTTCTTGCTTTCTGTACTCCATACTCGTAAATAGTCGTACAGTGTAGCAGCGGTGTGTAACCTTTTTTGATCCACGACCCTCGAATTAATTTATTTCGATGATATTATGTATGTGTATAATTCATACTTACTCAATGTGTACAATAATTTTATTCATATAAATTATTAAGTCGTTAATTATAAGCAATTTGGATATTTCATTAATTTAATTAATCAAAAACATAAAAAGAAAAACATATATATATAAAATTAGTTTTATAAAATCCAAAATATAAATATAAAGCTATGGGAATCAACGTACATAATATATTTTTTTTTCTTCTGGTGTTAAACCAAATCGGCGACCTCCTGATAAAATTTAGCGACCCCCCCCCACTGGGGTCGTGACCACAGATTGCGCAACACTGCAGTATAGTTCCAATGGCGGTCATGACTATCTCTGATCGCCTCGACAGAGCACGTCGAATTGTTCATATCGAACATTTTGCCCTAAGTTACGTAGTTAAAATCCTTATCGAGTCTCGCCACATGCCGCACGATGGCTGTAAACGGTTTTTGGGGGCAACCCTTACAGGTTATGACACTCGACAGACCAATAATATTTAAATTTCACCCCGACTCGAGACTCAATCGCAGGGGCCCCCGGGCCTGATGTTTGTGACGTTTATGGAAAGAAATTTCAGACGGAAACGGCTGCGCGCGGAAGGACAAATGAAAAGCGTTCGGGGTCAACGTCATCGCGTGTTATATATTATAACGTTTATTTCGAAATCGTTTTAGCCCGTCAGAAGCTACGATAAAGTCGAAAAATAATAGTTACTATCATCTTATAATATTCAACAATCAGCTCCGAACCACATACGCACACATATACGTCGAGCTCGATTTCAATCGAATGACGTGTACTACAATGGTATCAATAGGAATGATGTAGAGAAAAAAAAAAAAGAAAAGAAAATTAGAAAATTTATGAGGTGTACCGTACGGTAATTACTAATTATCAGTAGGTGTGCGCACGAAACAATAATGTATTGTAATGTGAACGATATTATAATGGTTACATCCGTTACGATCGCCGCCGCGAACAGCTGCTGCACCAGCGCCGGGGACGTGGTGTCGGTGAAGAAGTGGCGGATCTCGTGATCGTCGCCGTCACCCGTCCGCCGACGAACGGCCGCGGTGACGGTTTAAAAAACCTTACGCACGTAAATGGTGAACCGAGGGGGCCGGACAACGGCGGAGACGATCGCATTTCACGCACATCGTACGACTAGAATTTTAAGAAATCGCAAACAGACTGTATTGAACATGATTTCGAGATCGCCTCGACCGACGGAAACAACCGGTACGGTGAACGGGGAACGAAAAAACTGAATCGTAACGATACGGATCGTCGATGGGAAAGTATTATTATTTTAAAGGAATAATTGTTTTCCTCTTGCAGCGAACCAAGCGCAACGCGGTGTCAATTGTAATTACGTATGCCGTACGCGGTAACAAGTGGCGAGTAGTAGTACGCGCGGTAGCTCTGAATCTTATCTGCCGACGCGCTATAGCGGCGGGGAAGAGTGGAGGGAAAAAAAAACCACGGAACAAAACAAAAACATTGCGCCGCCGCCGCCGCTGCTGCTGCTGCTGCTGCTGTCACCCAAGGGCGCATTTGATAACAATGCTAAATCGTTTGTGTTCCTCTCGCACGGTTCCGTCGTCGGCGAACAAAACGTTACCGAAAACCGCGAGCGCTCAATTCTCTCCGATCGGACCCGCTGCAGACGAGTGGTCCGCGCGACACGGTACGACGACGACGACCGTTGGTAAACGTATAAACGGCCGAGGAACCGCATTGTTTAAATAACGTGAAAAGCGGTACGCGTATGTTGCTCGTCCGACACGGTCGTCGCTTTAAGCTCGGTGTTGCAACACACTACCGTCGGATGTGAACTCCACACGGCTGTTTGGTCTGTTCCATATTTCAAAATTCAATTAGGATCGATAATCAATGTTTTTCGTAGCTGTTGGTATTGTTACTGTTGCTAGCATTACTTCTATTATTACTACTGTTAATACTACCACTGATCGTACTACTAATACTAATACTAATACTACTACTACTACTACTACTACTACTACTACTATTAATAATAATAATAATAATAATAAAACTATTGCTGCTAAAATTATCCAAAGAGTTGATTGATTCTGTCGTTGCTGGTGAGACAAGTGGATTCGTGCAAAATCCTTCGCATACATCTGCACATCGATCAACCCACAAGCCGACAGAAAAACGTGTTGCAAAAATACAAGGAATATGCCTTCGGTATGGGATCCAAAGGTATGTATTAATATTATGATAACATAATCAACTGTTACTTATGAATCAACTTTTTTTTTTTACACCAAGTAATTTAAAAATCATATCAGTCTCAATTCCATTATTTTTATACTGTAGATTAAGTAAGTTATCGGTGTTAATTTTAATGAATGGTGTGTAAATTAATTGATAAACTAATACTCCTTAATTATTACATAACCATTTTAAATAAATAATACTTACTGAAAATGAAAGAAAAAACTGAAGAACATTATATTATAAAATTAATTTTACCAAATTTAAATCAAAAAATAATTATAATTGAAAATAAAAATAAAAAAACAGTATTACATTATTCAATTAAATCATTATATTGAAGATTAAATAAAAATAAAAAAATACAGCTTACAATATAACGTACTTATAAAGTGTTAATAAAGTATCAATATTTTTTATTTGTGCACAATTAACTCTTTAAATTTATATTTAAATTTTATAATAGTTTTTTTTTTTATTATGATTTATATAATACATTTTTTTTTTAGACCTCTGTCAATGGCCTAAAGTTGAACCTGATGTCGAAGTATCACCAGGTCGCCAGTTGCGATCACATGTTCCTCTGTTATGTCCTAATTGTAATCAACCAATTCAAGGTAAGACTGAACAGCAAAATGTTTGCGTATGTTTGTCTTCAACCCCAACTACATCCAGTGACCCTACCTCATTTGCAAATCAATCAAAAAAAAGAAATAGAAAAACCTTGCAACCACCAGAAACTTGTAAACGCCAATTGTTTGATGTATCTCATGAACAATCTGAAAGCACGGTGATTACAACTGATATCCAGAAACCAACAGTGGTGGAAAGTGGTGAAACTTCATCTGACATTTCATCAGAAAAGTTACCAGAACAATTGCCTGCTATCAATCCAATGCTAAGAGGTCGACATGTATGTCAAGTCTGTTTTAAGTCATTTACTAGTCCATGTAAGCTGACTCAACATTCTTATTCACACACTGGTGAAAAACCATTTGTTTGTAAGCATTGTTCAAAAGCTTTTTCGTCAAAATTTAAACTTGTTCGTCATGTATTAATACATTCTGATCAACGTCAATACCATTGTACAGTTTGTGATCGAACATTTCACAGAAAAGACCATTTAAAAAATCATGCTAAAGTACACAATCCCATAAAAAGAACTTTACAATGTGATCGCCCAGGTTGTTTAAAAGAATATAGTTCAGTGCTGAGTTACCGTAAACATATAGCTGTTCATTCTGTAGAAGAAGGATTCCTTGACTGTAAAATTTGTAACAAAGTTTTTGAATCCAAAGATGAACTTATGTATCATTTAAAAATACATTCTGGGTCAAGGGTAATAAAAACACCTGCTGATAAAAAATATCGATGCAATTTTTGTGAACGTAGTTTTTATACAGGGAAGGATGTACGTCGACATTTGGTTGTGCATACTGGTCTGCGAGATTTTCTGTGTCAATTTTGTCCACAACGATTTGGTCGTAAAGATCATCTCACTCGTCATATAAAGAAAAGTCATAATATTAATTCGAGTAAGAAACCGAAACCAAAAAAACCAAATGAATTATATAAAAGTAAATCAGTCGAAGCAGTTTATCTTGAAACATATGGACAACCATATAAAGTAGAAAAAAAATTAGCTCCAGAAACAGTTACAAGTGGAAGTTTGGTTAAACAAGAAAATATCTCTATTTCAGAATTAGAAATGTACCATTCTTCTAATATAACTAGTTTTAATTATAGTGGAGATAACGAGACAGTTATTCAAACTGTTGGATCATCCAGTGAAGCTAGTTTGCCCAGTATAAGCTACGATTCTCAGTCATCATACTCAGTTGATGAACTCAAAGTGTTTGATAGAACTTTGACCGATCAGTTAGCTAACAATTACCAAGATTCAACTAACCCTGAAATGCCTGGGTTATCCCAATTAATGAGCTTAACACCGTCTTCTACTATGACTAATATAGAATCTGATTCTTCTGTACTCACAAGTCATGAGTCAACGATTTTGATGCCAGAGTCTTCTCAACATTTAATCATGCAAGAGCAACCACAAATTCAGGTTGGCGAATATCTTACATCTTCATCAGAAATACTATCAGCTCTGTTAAGACAAACTTCTGAAACAGGTACTACACCATTACCAGGATTTAATCAAGTTTTTCATCAACAACAATAGTTTCATTTAAAAAAAATTTTATTTACACATATACACAGTGCTCGACTTGAGGGGGGACGCAGTACCTTAATTTTCAGAAATTTTAGTGTCCCCCTACTATTCTTATGTTATAATTATAACGCTTATTAAGTCTTGGGGATGCTATTTTTCTTTAAAGTAACCCTTTTTTAATATTGCCAAGTTAAGCACTGCATATACACACACATACACTCGACTATTTATACCTGTATGTATGTATGTATGTATGTTTTTGTGTGTGTGTTGTATATGTGTTTGTAGTAATTTTATGCATTATACATATTTATCTAGTCAATCATCCATAGTAGTTTATATACATTTATTTTTTCTGATTATATATTATTTATTACTTTTAGAAAAAAAACTCAATATGAAATAAATTATTATTCTTTTTATTTACAATACTACAAATGCCTTTACATTATAGTAACTAATTTTCATATATATTCCCTCAAGTTAGATATTTATGTATATCATTTTCAAGTTTTATTTGTTACTTATTAATACGCTTTCTATAACCATTACGTAGTGCAAAGTCAAAATAATATATAAAATTATATATTTTATATAATCTAGTCTTCAAAATATGCATACTATATAGTGTTATGTTTGCAATAGTTACAAAATGTTATATGTATTTTTTTCAGAATATTGTTAAAATTATTTTATTATGCACATATGTATCTATGTATATATTTTTATAAGTGGTTTGTTAAATAATTTATTGTTAAATCTATTATGTATGATTTTTTTTTTTTATAATTTATGGATTATCGATTAAGGTTGCCGCTGTCAATATTATACCAAATGATGTTCTTAAAAAAATGACTCGGCTAATCAACCATTATAATTTTTAAAATATCACTTTTATGGGAAATTAAGCATAATTTTTGGGCTAAATGATAAAATTAATTATAATTCTTATTTTTAAACTATACATTTTATTTTATATTTTGTGTCAATAATTTAATAATAGGGACCAAACCAGTACTCATAAGTTCCTAGTACTTTACACCTATTGTATAATAACATTAATTGGAGTTTGTTATATATGTTATTGCATAATTTGTAAGTACAATAATGACTGTATGTGTATGTAAATTTACAAAAAAAATAAAAATAATATTTTTTATGTATTAATAATAATGTACCTGTTATATATTAATTAGGACCAAATTACAACTGAAACTGTAATTTGTTTTATCTATTGGCCTGTTAAGTGATTTAGCCACGTATTTTCTTGCCGTATCTAAAGTTGTTGACCTAAAAGTTTCAAATATATATTTTTACTATTGTCTCATTGTTTTATACTAAGTAGAATATAAATTTCATAAAATAATAGCATTCTAATTTATAATACGTAATAAAAATCTGTTAATTGGAATTTTTTTTATAGATTATTTGATGGTTAAAAACTAATTTGATGTTTTTAAGAAAGAGTGATGTGTAAAGTTGAGCTGTGTCAAATTTTTAATTAATTCCATGTGTTCATTAACGCTTATAATACAATATTTAAACCATTATTATTATTATTATTATTATTATTATTATTATTATTAATAATATTATAGTTTACCTAACCTTCATGTTGTTCAAAAGAGTACAACTGTTACCGTTGTTACCAAAACTATTTTTATTTGTATATGTAAATATATTATTTATGTGTGTATAATTAATAATGTAGTTTGTTAAGAGTATAATTTTATATTTTATCTCTTAATTTTATTTTCGTTAAAACTTAAATGTTGTGGTAAATCATAGAGATTATGATATTTTAGATAGGTTTTAATAATTTGTTTGTTTTTTTTTTTAGATGTATTTATTTTATTCTATTAAGTATGTCTTTTTGGTTTACAATTAGAAATTATAATGTATCTATAGAGCTTTGATTATATTTGTCATTGATAATCTTAAATTTTTCATTATGAGTTGAATTGGTCGTTTTTGTTTGCAAAATAATAGTTTTATTTTTTTTTTTAATATAATTCTTATCCGAGTCTAAATCTTTTGATACTTATATCGTGATTTATTACATTGCCAAATAATTATTATTCATCTAATGACAATATTTGTAATTCAGTTATACTAAATATCGTTGATTAATATTGTAAAACGGTAATTTCCAGTACTTTATTTTTAATTCAATAAAAGACATATATCTTATTTTAATTATACATATTTATATATTGATTTAAGTTTTTAATGTATCTATAAAGTTTTATTTTTAATATTAAGTTAATAATTTTCTTTTCATATGTAAAGTTAAATTAATGCATTTCTGTGATATTATTGTTAATAGTAGTGGAGTACAAATATAATTTGTTATGTTTTATGGTGAACACCCTCAATTAGAGTTAAATGGTTCATTTTTTCTTATTACTATATTATCATTTTATTAATATATATTTTGATTTTATTCTTATATTTATGTACACATATACTTATATTTTTTGTAAATAAAAAGAAAAATTTGGTTTAATGTTGTTTTATTTATAAAGATAATTTTCTGCGTTATAAAAACACAAATTTTCTGAGAGTAGAATTTAACTATTCAGTTGATCATTATATTTAATGTTTATTTATTGTAATGTTTGTAAATTTGTTATACCATTTTATTTCATTTTAAATTGCTTGTATTTTATTTAAAATGTATACAAGCTTTGTCGAGTGATTTACATAGATTTTACTATAATCTATGTATTAATTAAATTAATTTTTTATCTTCACGGTTTTGATAAAAAAGATCAACAATTTTTTTTTCCAATAGGTCAAATGTTTAGTTGGTGTATTTAGAGTATATTGATTTTCTGTTTAGCTAACTTAAAAAATGATTAGGTACTTTTATTTTCACTTATACAATTATGTAAGATATCTTTTACATAAAGGCTGCCTTTTTGTTATCTGAATTAATGATATCTAAATAATTTTCAATTTTATATGAATAATTCTTCTACATCAGTTGCTCGTTACAGTATCTTCTCCTTTTTTTTTTATTTTGAGTGTTGATAACTTATAAAACTATTTTAAAAACAATATTATTTAAACTAAACTATATAACTAAAAATTAAACTTTTGGTAATCTCGAAATCGTTTGTGTCAACAATATTAGTTTAAAATTACATCTGATAGCTAGTTAGTAATTTTTTTTCATTTTTGTGTATCATCAGGGAGAATGATCTTTTCAGATGTATTATTCATTCATTAATTTAATCATGGTCAAAAATACTTTTTATAAAGTTTCATGAAAATACAAAAAAACAAAGACATCTAGAGGTGAAAATCAATTAAACATAAAAATTACGCTGGTACCTACAGTCAACGCCGGATTAAGCACCTATTGGGCCCTGAGGCTAAAATTCATATGCGCCCTTTTGACAAAATATGTTTTACAAAGCTGATTGCTACGCTCGCAGAACGATACATTTTTTTAAACTATTTTACAAATTGTCAATTGCATTATAAAACTTTAAAATTAATAGGTATATATATACAATTTTTGTCTATAAAACTACTAATTTTAGTATGATACAAAATGTGTATCGGCTTAAAATTGTTTGAGCCCCTTTAACTTGGGAACTCGAGAGGGCCCCGGAACTGCCGTCGTGGCTAGACCCCCCCCTTAATCCGGCTTTGAGTACAGTAATAACAAAGATCTTGAAATATTGTTCAAACGACTGCTGTGATACAAGAATAATTCTCAATGGTTTCAATCAATAACAATGGTGTAATAAACCCCAAATTTCAAGAGGGGTTAAAACAATAACTGTGTACGAGTTACGGACGAAAAAATTCCAACAGCCGATACCGTTCTTCCGTTGAAGGTGATGGGTGGAAACTAGTTGATATGTAGTGCGACTTGTGAGACAAACCTTTTGATAGACGTACCTACTCGAATTGTTAACGAGAAAAAATACCGAATGGTCACTGTGCATACAGATCGATGTCGAAATATTGTAGCGCAACGTTGTTTAGAGCAGACCTGCGCTGTGTATTGCGACGTCGTTAGGCGGATGGCATTCTGAAAGTCCGGTCACATAGTTAACCGAATACATATTTTTTCCACGATCCAAAAGCGGACGGACGGTTTCAAGTTTGAACAGAGAGGAGCGGTGGGGGAATGACGGGTTCGGAGTATATAATAAAAATCTACAGCGATCCGGCGATAGAGTGAGCATTGAGATGAGCGAGTTAAATAGATTATTTCTTCGATTTGAATTTTTTTTTTTACTTAAGGTACGGTTTCCTAGACGCGACCGGTCGCCGAGACAGGTCGCTGCGACAGTCGCCGTCCGACTGTTAATATGTAATTCCTATTATCTGGTTTCCAACGCACGACTGTTGTCGCGCGACTGAACTTTATCGTGGCGACCGGCGACACTACCGGTCCGAGAGCAGTGTATTGCGACCGATGCGCGCGACCGTCGATTTTTTTTAGTCACAAACCAACTTTTGGGTAGTGAATTTCGATCATCACGTGCATGAATATGGCTAAATTGCATTTTTCGGGAGAAGAAGAAGAACAACTCATCGAATTGGTTCGAAAAAATATGTAATTAATAACTCATCGTCCTCTTCCTCTTCCTCGAGAAGAAGTAACATAATTTTATTATTGTTAATAATTGTATTCATACTCATAATAAATATAAAATTTAACTTGAAAACACTAGCACTCACTGCACGAAAGCCACAATGATACTGATTACAGATATAGAATTTGATAGTTTTTTTTACGTCACCGGAGACTGGTCTCGGCGACCAGTCGCGCCTGGGAAACCAGCACGCGCCAACGACAGGTTATAGCGACCGATCGCGGCGACCTGTCTCGGCGACCGGTCGCGTCTAGGAAACCGTACCTTTAGAACTTGGTACATCGATAATTTTTTCCATTATTGTAAAATCTTGAAAACTATATATTATATGGTATATAGTATGTGGGCATATTTTCTCGATATTTGTTGATATTTAGAATTTGGAACGCCTTGGTAATTTATATATATTTTTTTCTCTCTCCCATACTCTTATTTATCTTTAATCAAAATATGAACTAATCATAA